GATCACTCACAGAGGGTTGGTGGGTCACACACAGAGGGTTGGTGGATCACTCACAGAGGGTTGGTGGGTCACACACAGAGGGTTGGTGGACCACACACAGAGGGTTGGTGGGTCACACACAGAGGGTTGGTGGATCACTCACAGAGGGTTGGTGGACCACACACAGAGGGTTGGTGGGTCAAACACAGAGGGTTGGTGGACCACACACAGAGGGTTGGTGGGTCAAACACAGAGGGTTGGTGGACCACACACAGAGGGTTGGTGGGTCACACACAGAGGGTTGGTGGGTCACTCACAGAGGGTTGGTGGGTCACTCACAGAGGGTTGGTGGGTCACTCACAGATGGTTGGTGGACCACTCACAGAGGGTTGGTGGGTCAAACACAGAGGGTTGGTGGACCACACACAGAGGGTTGGTGGGTCAAACACAGAGGGTTGGTGGACCACACACAGAGGGTTGGTGGGTCACACACAGAGGGTTGGTGGACCACACACAGAGGGTTGGTGGACCACACACAGAGGGTTGGTGGACCACACACAGAGGGTTGGTGGGTCACACACAGAGGGTTGGTGGGTCACACACAGAGGGTTGGTGGATCACTCACAGAGGGTTGGTGGGTCACACACAGAGGGTTGGTGGATCACTCACAGAGGGTTGGTGGGTCACACACAGAGGGTTGGTGGACCACACACAGAGGGTTGGTGGGTCACACACAGAGGGTTGGTGGATCACTCACAGAGGGTTGGTGGACCACACACAGAGGGTTGGTGGGTCACACACAGAGGGTTGGTGGGTCACTCACAGAGGGTTGGTGGGTCACTCACAGAAGGTTGGTGGGTCACACACAGAGGGTTGGTGGGTCACTCACAGATGGTTGGTGGACCACTCACAGAGGGTTGGTGGGTCACACACAGAGGGTTGGTGGACCACACACAGAGGGTTGGTGGACCACACACAGAGGGTTGGTGGGTCACACAGAGGGTTGGTGGATCACTCACAGAGGGTTGGTGGGTCACACACAGAGGGTTGGTGGGTCACACACAGAGGGTTGGTGGGTCACACACAGATGGTTGGTGGACCACTCACAGAGGGTTGGTGGGTCACACACAGAGGGTTGGTGGGTCACTCACAGAGGGTTGGTGGGTCACACACAGAGGGTTGGTGCACCACACACAGAGGGTTGGTGGGTCACACACAGATGGTTGGTGGACCACTCACAGAGGGTTGGTGGGTCACACACAGAGGGTTGGTGGGTCACTCACAGAGGGTTGGTGGGTCACACACAGAGGGTTGGTGCACCACACACAGAGGGTTGGTGGGTCACACACAGAGGGTTGGTGGACCACACACAGAGGGTTGGTGGGTCACACACAGAGGGTTGGTGGGTCACACACAGAGGGTTGGTGCACCACACACAGAGGGTTGGTGGGTCACACACAGAGGGTTGGTGGACCACTCACAGACGGCGCGACGCGCTCCTCCCTGGGGGCGCGGAGGAGGCGCCGTGCCCCCTCTCGCCGGGAGATGGCGGCACAGGAGCGACCTTCAGGGGCGAGAGCAGCGGTCCGCAACCAACACAGCGAGATCATCATAACAACAGGGGTTCTTTTTGTTGGGTTAGTCCTCGTAAATATGAACGTTGTGTCGTTAAACCCGCCACCACCCGACACAGCCAACTAGGAAAGGCTGTGTCAAGTAAACAGAACGTGGCCAATTCGTCACTGGTACAGCACCAGCCGGTGTGGTGGAGAGCCGAGCCACAACGTTCACAGTCCACAACATCGACATGGATTGGCTCTCCAGCACACAACCGCCGCGTGTGCTGTACTGGTGACGAATTGTCCACGTTCTGTCTACGTGACACAGCCTTAACTAGTTGGCTGTGTCGGGTGGTGGCGGGTTGAACGACACATTTACATTCTTACGCGATCTCACCCAACAAACCCCCCCCCCCCTGTATTGTGGATGATATTCGTCGCGAAACATCTACTACGCGTTAAACTGACGTAACAAGAGGAGACGTGTTGGGGGGATTCTCTAACCAACTCGATATTATCGGAGCCGCAATGCCCTGTGTGGAACACGAGACGACGGTGGATCCTTCATGAATGACGTCCCCAGACAGTCACTGAAGAGCCACCACGTGGACCCGGCTCGCGAATCCCGCAGGTTGCCGACCCCTTAGGATCGAGTGTTTCCCCCTCGCGCGCGTGGGGTTTTCTCCGTCCACTGCGTGTTCCCTCCCACATGTAAACACTCGTGAATTGGCCCATACCACCTTCATATACAGAGGCACCGCAGAGCTCGGCAAATTGCTGGGCGCGCCGAATCCTCGCCATCGCGTGGCCGCTGCCGCCGCTGCCTCTCGTCTGCGACTCGTCCAGTCGGCGCACTCCGAGTCGTTATTTTGCTTTAACACACCGCAATATGTAGGGGACGGCAGAGCGTGGACGATTGTTGGCGTCGGCTTAGCGCGTGGCTGCCTCCGGCCTCGTCTGTCTCTGAATCCCTGCCACCTTGTCAATGGGTCGCGTTTTGCTCAATTGGGTCTGCAGCAAGGATCACGAGGTCGACTCGTAAAGCACTGCCCCACCATCGCCACCCGCACGAGATCTGCCCATCGCCCTCGTAGAGAGGGAGAGAGAGAGCGAGAGAGGACGACTCAGAGAGAGAGAGGACGACTCAGAGAGAGAGGACGACTCAGAGAGAGGACGACTCAGAGAGAGAGGACGACTCAGAGAGAGGACGACTCAGAGAGAGAGGACGACTCAGAGAGAGAGGACGACTCAGAGAGAGAGGACGACTCAGAGAGAGAGGACGACTCAGAGAGAGAGGACGACTCAGAGAGAGAACGACTCAGAGAGAGAGGACGACTCAAAGAGAGAGGACGACTCAGAGGCGCCAGGAGGTGGAGCCACAGTGTGAAGGCAACAGCAGCAGCAGCCACGCGGTGAGGATCCCGCGTCAAATTCCACTCCCCGCACCCTCTCCACTCCCAGCTCAGCAGTCCTCTATCTATGAAGATGTTATCAGCCAAGCACTGAGTGTTTGTATTTTGACAGCGACTTAAGACAAGAGGAGCTCGATTGTTAAAGCGCGCTCGTGCGCATTGGGGATGTTGACACGGGCGACAGATGTCCGACAGAGGAGACTTGCCACCGCCATAGGAACGTGGAATGTCCACCACTGGCTCGGGGCTGTAAACGGGAGATGAGCGTCCGCCTCATTCTACCCCTGAGTATGGCAGCAATGGGATCGCGAGACAGACGCCAATGTGGAGGCCTCCTGCCGCTGCTGCTGCTGGCCACGACGAGAGGGCTTCAGCAGAAAAAGAGAGGGGAAAGAGTTGGTGTCGTGTCGCTCTTCCTCCTCCACCTCTTCCTCCTCCACCTCCTCCTCCTCCACCTCTTCCTCCTCCACCTCCTCCACTGTTGAAGGAGCGCAGACCACAGTGGGTTCACTGTGGGGTCCAGAGTGTGGGTTGAATGGCCACAGTCTCACTGCTTTGGCTTGTGTCTCAATGTATCTCTATGTATCTATATGTCTCTATGCATCTATATGTGTCTCTATGGGTCTCTATGTATCTCTATGTATCTCTGTGTCTCTGTGTGGGTTGCATGGCCACAGTCTCACTGCTGTGGCTTGTGTCTCAATGTATCTCTATGGGTCTCTATTGCTTTGTGTCTCTATGTATTTCTATGCATCTCTATGGGTCTCTATGGGTCTCTATGTGTCTCTATGTATCTCCATGTGTCTATGGGTTCACTGTGGGGTCCGTAGTGTGGGTTGCATGGCCACAGTCTCACTGCTGTGACTTGTGTCTCAATGTATCTCTATGGGTCTCTATCGCTTTGTGTCTCTATGTATTTCTATGTATCTCTATGGGTCTCTATGTGTCTCTATGTATCTCCATGTGTCTATGGGTGCACTGTGCGGTCCAGAGTGTGGGTTGCATGGCCACAGTCTCACTGCTGTGGCTTGTGTCTCAATGTATCTCTCTGAGTCTGTCTCTGCGTGTCTATAAGTTTATGTATCTCTATAAGTCTCCGTGTCTCTTTGAGTGTGTCTCTGCGTGTCTATACGTCTCTGTGTATCTCTGAGTCTGTCTCTGCGTGTCTATACGTCTCCGTGTCTCTCTGAGTCTGTCTCTGCGTGTCTATACGTCTCCGTGTCCCTCTGAGTCTGTCTCCCCATGAGTGTGACTTCTGCACGCATTGACACCATCCATCCGTGTTGCTCTGGCATGGCCATAGCCACCGTGGCTGTCACGTTCCACACATGGAGGCGATGTTGGTGGTGGTGATGGTGGTGGTGATGTTGGTGATGGTGATGGAGGCGATGTTGGTGGTGATGGAGGCGATGTTGGTGGTGATGGAGGCGATGGTGGTGGTGATGGTGATGTTGGTGGTGGTGATGTTGGAGGTGATGGAGGCGATGGTGGTGGTGATGTTGGTGGTGGTGATGGTGGTGATGTTGGTGGTGGTGCTGCGTGGAATCGGCCTGCCGACGACTTTCGTGGCGCGCGCCACCCCAAGTCTCCGTGGGGGCGCGGGAGACGTCTCGGGCTGGTGGCAAAACTGAAACCTCACAAGGCTCGGCGGGGTTGGGCTGGGGGCGAGGGGCAGGGTGACTGGGGTGGGGGGTGGAGACAGCGCCCCGCCTAACGCGCTGCGGTGACGCCAGGTGAGCACAGAGAGAGGAGATCCCCACCACCATCACCCACCACCCACCACCATCACCCACCACCCACCACCATCACCCACCACCCACCACCATCACCCACCACCCACCACCATCACCCACCACCCACCACCATCACCCACCACCCACCACCATCACCCACCACCCACCACCACCCACCATCACCCACCATCACCCACCACCATCACCCACCACCCACCACCACCCACCACCATCACCCACCATCACCCACCACCCACCAGCACCACCACTCACCACCACCACCACCACCCACCACCACTCACCACCACCCACCATCACCACCCACCACCACTCACCACCATCACCCACCACCACCACCATCACCACCCACCACCACCACCACCCGGGCGCTTAGGGGTGCTACCGCAGGGGTCTCCTGACCAGCCCCTGCGCCGACCACGGCGCGGGGCTGCGATGCGCGAGTCGCCGCGGATCCCCGCGTGAGTGCGCGGCTCTCCTCAGTGGCCCGCTCGAGACGAGAGGCGGTGGTGGCACCATGGGTGAGTGAGCGACGTGGGGCTGTCTCACTCCTCCTGTCCCTTGTCTCACTCCTCCTGTCCCTTGTCTCACTCCTCCTGTCCCTTGTCTCACTCTCCTGTCCCTTGTCTCACTCTCCTGTCCCTTGTCTCACTCCTCCTGTCCCTTGTCTCACTCTCCTGTCCCTTGTCTCACTCTCCTGTCCCTTGTCTCACTCCTCCTGTCCCTTGTCTCACTCCTCCTGTCCCTTGTCTCACTCCTCCTGTCCCTTGTCTCACTCCTCCTGTCCCTTGTCTCACTCTCCTGTCCCTTGTCTCACTCCTCCTGTCCCTTGTCTCACTCTCCTGTCCCTTGTCTCACTCCTCCTGTCCCTTGTCTCACTCTCCTGTCCCTTGTCTCACTCCTCCTGTCCCTTGTCTCACTCATCCTGTCCCTTGTCTCACTCTCCTGTCCATTGTCTCACTCTCCTGTTCCTTGTCTCACTCCCCTTGTCCCTTGTCTCACTCATCCTGTCCCTTGTCTCACTCCTGTCCCTTGTCTCACTCTCCTGTCCCTTGTCTCACTCCTCCTGTCCCTTGTCTCACTCTCCTGTCCCTTGTCTCACTCCTCCTGTCCCTTGTCTCACTCTCCTGTCCCTTGTCTCACTCCTCCTGTCCCTTGTCTCACTCTCCGGTCCCTTGTCTCACTCTCCTGTCCCTTGTCTCACTCATCCTGTCCCTTGTCTCACACCTCCTGTCCCTTGTCTCACTCCTTCTGTCCCTTGTCTCACTCCTCCTGTCCCTTGTCTCACTCTCCTGTCTTGTTTCACTCATCCTGTCCCTTGTCTCACTCCTCCTGTCCCTTGTCTCACTCCTCCTGTCCCTTGTCTCACTCATCCTGTCCCTTGTCTCACTCCTCCTGTCCCTTGTCTCACTCCTCCTGTCCCTTGTCTCACACCTCCTGTCCCTTGTCTCACTCTTACTGTCCCTTGTCTCACTCCTCCTGTCCCTTGTCTCACTCCTCCTGTCCCTTGTCTCACTCCCCTTGTCCCTTGTCTCACTCATCCTGTCCCTTGTCTCACTCTTCCTGTCCCTTGTCTCACTCCTCCTGTCCCTTGTCTCACTTCCCTTGTCCCTTTTCTCACTCATCCTGTCCCTTGTCTCACTCTTCCTGTCCCTTGTCTCACACCTCCTGTCCCTTGTCTCACTCATCCTGTCCCTTGTCTCACTCTTCCTGTCCCTTGTCTCACTCCTCCTGTCCCTTGTCTCACTCATCCTGTCCCTTGTCTCACTCTTCCTGTCCCTTGTCTCACTCCTCCTGTCCCTTGTCTCACTCCTCCTGTCCCTTGTCTCACTCCTCCTGTCCCTTGTCTCACTCATCCTGTCCCTTGTCTCACTCTTCCTGTCCCTTGTCTCACTCCTCCTGTCCCTTGTCTCACTCCTGCTGTCCCTTGTCTCACTCATCCTGTCCCTTGTCTCACTCCTCCTGTCCCTTGTCTCACTCCTCCTGTCCCTTGTCTCACTCTTCCTGTCCCTTGTCTCACTCCTCCTGTCCCTTGTCTCACTCCTCCTGTCCCTTGTCTCACTCATCCTGTCCCTTGTCTCACTCCTCCTGTCCCTTGTCTCACTCCTCCTGTCCCTTGTCTCACTCTTCCTGTCCCTTGTCTCACTCCTCCTGTCCCTTGTCTCACTCCCCTTGTCCCTTGTCTCACTCATCCTGTCCCTTGTCTCACTCTTCCTGTCCCTTGTCTCACTCCTCCTGTCCCTTGTCTCACTCTTCCTGTCCCTTGTCTCACTCCTCCTGTCCCTTGTCTCACTCCCCTTGTCCCTTGTCTCACTCATCCTGTCCCTTGTCTCACTCCTCCTGTCCCTTGTCTCACTCTTCCTGTCCCTTGTCTCACTCATCCTGTCCCTTGTCTCACTCTCCTGTCGCTTGTCTCACTCTTCCTGTCCCTTGTCTCACACCTCCTGTCCCTTGTCTCACTCCTCCTGTCCCTTGTCTCACTCTTCCTGTCCCTTGTCTCACTCCTCCTGTCCCTTGTCTCACTCTCCTGTCCCTTGTCTCACTCCTCCTGTCCCTTGTCTCACTCTCCTGTCCCTTGTCTCACTCCTCCTGTCCCTTGTCTCACTCTCCTGTCCCTTGTCTCACTCTCCTGTCCCTTGTCTCACTCATCCTGTCCCTTGTCTCACACCTCCTGTCCCTTGTCTCACTCCTCCTGTCCCTTGTCTCACTCTTCCTGTCCCTTGTCTCACTCCTCCTGTCCCTTGTCTCACTCATCCTGTCCCTTGTCTCACTCATCCTGTCCCTTGTCTCACTCATCCTGTCCCTTGTCTCACTCATCCTGTCCCTTATCTCACACCTCCTGTCCCTTGTCTCACTCTCCTGTCGCTTGTCTCACTCTTCCTGTCCCTTGTCTCACACCTCCTGTCCCTTGTCTCACTCCTCCTGTCCCTTGTCTCACTCTCCTGTCCCTTGTCTCACTCCTCCTATCCCTTGTCTCACTCATCCTGTCCCTTGTCTCACTCCTCCTGTCCCTTGTCTCACTCTTCCTGTCCCTTGTCTCACTCATCCTGTCCCTTGTCTCACTCATCCTGTCCCTTGTCTCACTCTCCTGTCGCTTGTCTCACTCTTCCTGTCCCTTGTCTCACACCTCCTGTCCCTTGTCTCACTCCTCCTGTCCCTTGTCTCACTCTCCTGTCCCTTGTCTCACTCCTCCTGTCCCTTGTCTCACTCATCCTGTCCCTTGTCTCACTCCTCCTGTCCCTTGTCTCACTCTTCCTGTCCCTTGTCTCACTCCTCCTGTCCCTTGTCTCACTCATCCTGTCCCTTGTCTCACTCCTCCTGTCCCTTGTCTCACTCATCCTGTCCCTTGTCTCACTCATCCTGTCCCTTGTCTCACTCCCCTTGTCCCTTGTCGCACTCATCCTGTCCCTTGTCTCACTCCTCCTGTCCCTTGTCTCACTCCTCCTGTCCCTTGTCTCACTCTTCCTGTCCCTTGTCTCACTCCTCCTGTCCCTTGTCTCACTCCTCCTGTCCCTTGTCTCACTCATCCTGTCCCTTGTCTCACTCCTCCTGTCCCTTGTCTCACTCATCCTGTCCCTTGTCTCACTCATCCTGTCTCCCTTCCCTCACTCCCCTTGTCCCCCCATCTCGCTTCCGTACCCAGATCTCACAACACTCCGATCGCCACCACCCACTCTGACCCCCCCCCCCCCTACAACGTGTACTCCCCACAACGTGTACCCCCCCCCCCCACAACGTGTACCCCCCCCCCCACAACGTGTACCCCCCCCCCCCCACAACGTGTACCCCCCCCCCCCAGAGTGGCTGTGGGCCCACGTCACAGCCACGTTGGGGTCGCTGCGCCGCTTCTGCCGCAAGTGCAGCGAAGTCTGCGGCCTCGGCTCGGCCGAGCGGCCGCCGCTCGCCGCCGGCGGCGCCACGGAGTGCTCCTCCGTGGCGTCCACCCCGGGGGACGACTACCTCCTGCGCAAGCTGCCCACGGGGGGCCAGCCCGTGCAGTTCGCGCTGCCCCGCCTGATGCCCAGCTTCGTGCAGCCAAAGGCCCTGGAGACCGCCGGCGGCGAGGATGAAGCGAGCAAAGGTGGGGGACGCCTGCCATTGACGACGACGACGATGATGATGTGGAGGATGATGATGTGGAGGATGGTGATGTGGAGGATGGTGATGATGTGTAGGAGGATGATGATGATGTGGAGGATGGTGATGATGATGATGTGTAGGATGATGATGTGGAGGATGATGATGTGTAGGATGATGATGATGTGGGGTATGATGATGATGTGGACGATGATGATGATGATGCTGTGGAGGATGATGATGTGGAGGATGATGATGATGTGGAGGATGGTGATGATGTGGAGGATGATGATGATGTGGGGGATGGTGATGATGTGGAGGATGGTGATGATGTGGAGGATGATGATGATGTGGGGGATGGTGATGATGTGGGGGATGGTGATGATGTGGGGTATGATGATGATGTGTAGGATGATGATGATGTGGAGGAGGATGATGATGTGGAGGAGGATGATGATGTGGGGGATGGTGATGATGGGGGGGGGGATGGTGATGATGTGGGGTATGATGATGATGTGGAGGAGGATGATGATGATGATGATGTGGAGGATGATGATGATGTGGGGTATGATGATTATGATGTGTAGGATGATGATGTGGGGGATGCTGATGATGTGGGGTATGATGATGATGTGTAGTATGATGATGTGGAGGATGATGATGATGATGTGGGGTATGATGATGATGTGGACGATGATGATGATGCTGTGGAGGATGATGATGTGGAGGATGATGGTGATGATGTGGGGTATGATGATTATGTGGAGGAGGAGGATGATGATGATGATGATGTGGAGGATGATGATGATGTGGGGTATGATGATGATGATGTGGAGGATGATGTGGGGTATGATGATGATGTGGACGATGATGATGATGCTGTGGAGGATGATGATGTGGGGGATGATGATGGTGTGGAGGATGATGATGTGGGGGATGATGATGATGTGGATGATGATGTGTAGGATGATGATGTGGAGCGGTCCGTCAGAGGCCACGGGGGTGACCTTTGACCTTGTGCGCGTGACACCGCGCCTGCCTGCCCACCCGTGCGTGCTGCAGCCTTCTCGAGAGAACTCTTCACGCAGAGGAAGACGAGCCTCAGCGCCGGCGAGCGAAGCGCCGCCGGCTCCCCCGAACGGCGCCCGATCGGCGCGGGTGGCGGCTCCCCGCTCGCCGGCTCCGCCGACGCCGTCCCCCCGCGCCACTACCCCGAGCCAGTGCCCAACGGGGGACACGTGCCGGTGACGCGCGCCCACACGCTCGACTCGTCGCGCTCCACCAGCCCCTTCACTCTCTACGGCTCCGGTGGGTGGGTGCGACGCACGCCGCGGACCGCGAGAGTCCCGTTGTTGTTGTTGTTGTTTGTTTTCCGGGTCGCCCGCCGCTCGGCGAATGCCGAAGGTGGCACGCGGGAGCCCCCTCGCCATCAGTGGCCGCAGCCTGGAGCGGAAGAGGCGCATGATGGACGTGGTGTGCCGGGGTGTGGACATATTTTCCGGGTCGCTGACCCAAAGGCCCCCGGATGAAATTATGGCGCGTGCAAAATCCATGGGTCTCTATACGTTTATGAGAATCTATGCAAGTCATTGGGTCTCTATGCGAGTTTAGGAATCTGGATGTAAGTCTGTGGCCCTCTTTGTGAGTCGATGGGTCTCTATGTGAGTCATTGGGTCTCTGTGTGAGTATCTGTGTCTCTGTGTAAATCTGTGGGGCTGTACGCGATTCAATGGCTCTCTGTATGAGTATCCGGATCTCTATGTAAGTCTGTGGGACTATACGTGAGTCTATGGGTTTCTGTAGGGGTATCTGGGTCTCTGTGTAAGTCTGCGGGGCTATACGTGAGTCTGTGGCTCTCTGTACGAGTCGTGGGTGTCTATGTAAGTCTATGGGGCTCTGTGTAAGTCTATGGGGCTCTATGTGAGTCTCTGAGACTCTGTGTAAGTCTATGGGGCTCTATGTGAGTCTCTGGGACTCTATCTAAGTCTATGGGGCTCTATGTGAGTCTCTGGGACTCTATGTAAGTCTATGGGGCTCTATGTGAGTCTCTGGGACTCTGTGTAAGTCTATGGGGCTCTATGTGAGTCTCTGGGTCTCTGTGTAAGTCTATGGGGCTCTATGTGAGTCTCTGGGTCTCTGTGTAAGTCTATGGGGCTCTATGTGAGTCTCTGGGACTCTGTGTAAGTCTATGGGGCTCTACGTGAGTCTCTGGGACTCTGTGTAAGTCTATGGGGCTCTATGTGAGTCTCTGGGACTCTATGTAAGTCTATGGGGCTCTATGCTCGCCCGTGCATCTGTTTACAACTTGAGGGCTGCATTCCTCCCTCAAAACACCTCACTGACTGACCAAGGTGATGACAGGTGACTCGTAGTGACAGGTGAATACTGGACGTGGTGTGCCGGAGTGCGGAAATAATTTCTGGACTGGCCGGACGCCCCAACCCGCTCACGATGTTTAACCTGCGGTTAAAGTGGGGCGCGTGCGCTGGTATGCGTGCTACTGAAACTAAACTTTAAACTAAAGCTATTTTTATTATTTTACTTACCAGCTGATGCCCACTGAGCTGCACAAGTGCTCTTTTTCAGACGCGACTTGGCCATCACAAATGATAGCTCAACAGAAGTGGCGTTTCACCGTGTGGAAATTTCTAGCGGGCAACACGCTCGCACGTCGATTGTAAACGTGGAGTGGAAAACCGCAGGATCCGGAGAAAAATCCACGCGATCACGGGGAAAGAGAGAGAGGTTACACGCAAACTCCAAATATAGAGACACCGTCAGGGTCGGGATCGAACCCACGACCTCCTGCATACCAGGCGAGGTAGTCAACATCTCCTAGCCACCGTGGCGTGATAGAATGCCGATGATAGCGACGTCTGCAAGGTGTCACGCAGTGTGCCATGCACGTTGAACGTGCTGGAACGATCGCTCAATCACGCAGCTCGTAATGCAGAGTTACATTCACGAGAGTACGGCACGCGGTATGCAGTGTGCATTAAACGCGGTCGGATGAGTGCCCTCATGTACTGCAACACCTGTGGTGTGACGCTCACTTACCTGTGGTGTGACGCTCACTCACCTGTGTTGTGATGCTCACTCACCTGTGGTGTGACGCTCACTCACCTGTGGTGTGACGCTCACTCACCTGTGTTGTGATGCTCACTCACCTGTGTTGTGACGCTCACTCACCTGTGGTGTGACATTCCTTCACCTGTGTCGTGATGCTCGCTCACCTGTGGTGTGACGCTCACTCACCTGTGGTGTGACGCTCACTCACCTGTGTTGTGAAGCTCACTCACCTGTGTTGTGATGCTCACTCACCTTTATTGTGATGCTCACTCACCTGTGGTGTGACGCTCACTTACCTGTGTTGTGATGCTCACTCACCTGTGGTGTGACATTCACTCACCTGTGTTGTGATGCTCACTCACCTGTGGTGTGATGTTCACTTACCCGTGTCGTGATGCTCGCTCACCTGTGGTGTGACGCTCACTCACCTGTGTTGTGATGCTCACTCACCTGTGTTGTGATGCTCACTCACCTGTGGTGTGATGCTCACTCACCTGTGTTGTGATGCTCACTCACCTGTGTTAAGATGATCACTCACCTGTGTCGTGATGCTTACTCACCTGTGGTGTGATGCTCACTCACCTGTGTTAAGATGCTCACTCACCTGTGTCGTGATGCTTACTCACCTGTGGTGTGATGCTCACTCACCTGTGTTAAGATGCTCACTCACCTGTGTCGTGATGATCACTCACCTGTGGTGTGATGCTCACTCACCTGTGTCGTGATGATCACTCACCTGTGGTGTGATGCTCACTCACCTGTGTCGTGATGCTCGCTCACCTGTGGTGTGATGCTCACTCACCTGTGTTAAGATGCTCACTCACCTGTGTTGTGATGCTCACTCACCTGTGTCGTGATGCTCACTCACCTGTGTTGTGATGCTCACTCACCTGTGTTAAGATGCTCACTCACCTGTGTCGTGATGATCACTCACCTGTGGTGTGATGCTCACTCACCTGTGTCGTGGTGATCACTCACCTGTGGTGTGATGCTCACTCACCTGTGCCGTGATGCTCACTCACCTGTGTTGTGATGCTCACTCACCTGTGTTAAGATGCTCACTCACCTGTGTCGTGATGATCACTCACCTGTGTTGTGATGCTCACTCACCTGTGTTGTGATGATCACTCACCTGTGGTGTGATGCTCACTCACCTGTGTTGTGATGCTCACTCACCTGTGTTGTGATGATCACTCACCTGTGGTGTGATGCTCACTCACCTGTGACGCGTGCCACCTCCTGGCAGAGTGGGACCTGAGGAGCGCCAGCCTCGGACGCCTGCACGGCCACGTGGACTCGGAGGTGAGCAACACCGCTGGGGCGCACCACGTGACACCTGGGGGCAGCTCGGTGAGTGTTGCGGGTGAGGGGCGGGGTGAGGGACGGAGTGAGGGGCGGGGTGAGCACTGCCCACGTGGGCCACCCCTAGCCGGCCCTGACCCCCCCCCGTGTACCTCTCTCCGCCAGGTCTACTCCTCTCTCTCCAGCATCCCGAGCAGCATCTCGGCCTGCAGCGACCACTACAGCAACTCAGGTGGGCATACCGAGTCGGTGTGTGTGTGTACACGGTGTGTGTGTGTGTACACGGTGTGTGTGTGTACACGGTGTTTGTGTGTGTACACGGTGTGTGTGTGTCCACGGGGGGTGTGTGTGTGTGTACACGGCGGGGTGTGTGTGTGTGTACACGGTGTGTGTGTGTACACGGGGTGTGTGTGTGTACACGGAGCGTGTGTGTGTATACGGAGGATCATTGTGTGTGTGCGTGCAGACAGCCCATCCTTGGATGAAACCGAAGGAGGCCATCTCAATGTGCGCATCCGGTACGAGCCGAGCATGCAGCAGCTGTGGGTCACCATCGTGAAGGTGAGGCGACCACGTGGCTCCCACGACTCACGGTGGCCGTGTCACCGAGAGTCTCCGGCTTCCGGCGGCTCGGTAGCCGATGATTGCAGGGTGAAATCTCTCGTTCGTTTGCGATCGGTCGCTCGCGTTGGAGAAATCCCAGCTCTGATCGCGCGAGAATGTTGCGATGCGTGTTGACGACAGCACCGGGCACATACCGGCTGAGTGCGATCATGCACGTGGGCCGCGTCGCTGTGGGAGGCGCGGTAATGGGTGGTGGTGATCGGTGGCGGGGATGGGTGACGTGGAAATGCGTGGTGGCGGTGGCGACGGCGATGGACGGTGAGGGCAATGTGCGGTGGCGTTGTGTAGCGGTGGCAGTGTGTGGTGGTGGTGGTGGTGGCGTTGGGTAGCGGTAGCAGTGTGGTGCTGGTGATGGTGGTGCCGTTGTGTAGCGGTGGCAGTGTGTGGTGGTGGTGGTGGCGTTGGGTAGCGGTGGCAGTGTGGTGCTGGTGGTGGTGGCGTTGGGTAGCGGTGGCAGTGTGTGGTGGTGGTGGTGACGACGGCGCCGCCGCTTTTTAATTTTGCCGGCAGGCCGTGGACCTGGAGGCCCAGACGAGGTCGGGAGACGGGCCGAGCGCGTACGTGAAGGGGGTCCTGAACGCCGACAAGACGTGGCCGCTCAAGACCACGACGCAGCGGCACACCTGCGTGAGTGGCGACACGAAGCGGCTCATCGTCGTCACGGTGCTCGTGGTCGTGCTGTGTGCAAATGTATTTAGCAGCAGCAGCAGCAGCAGCCAAATGCTCGGACTCGCGTGACGTTGATTCAAAACGTGGAGAGAAAAAACCAGAGGGACCCGGAGAAACATTTCCACGCGACCACGGCGGGAGAGAGAGAGAGAGACACGCAAACTCCAAATATACAGCAGCAGCAGGCGTCAGGGTCGGGATCGAACCCACGACCTCCTGTACACCGGGCAAGGTAGTTGACATCTCCTAGCCACCGTGATGATGATGAGAGAGAGAGACGCGCAAACTCCAAATATACAGCAGCAGGTGTCAGGGTCGGGATTTAATTTCGTGACCTCCCGCATACCGAGCGAGGGAGTTAACATCTCCGGCGCCCATTAGGTGAGCTCCAGATTGTGCGGGCGGACGGGGCTCAGCGTGGTTGTCGGCCCCGCAGGCGCCCGAGTTCAACGAGACGTTCGTCTTTGTGGTGGCGGAGCTCGCGATGGCGACGGCGAACCTGCAGCTCTCCGTGCTCAGCCGCTGGCCGCACCGCGCCGTGCTGGGCGGGACGACGCTCGCGCTCGAACAGGCCGGCCCGCAGGAGCAGGACCTGTGGCTCCCGTTGAGCGAGCAGGAGCTGGGACAGGTGAGCGGGCGGCGGGCGCGCGGGGACCGCTCTGCGTCCCGTGTGTATCCCGCGCGTGTTCCGTGTGTGTCTCGTGTGTCCTGCGTGCGACCCGTGCGTGTCCCGTGTGTATCGTGCGCGCGTCCTGTGTGTGACGTGTCCTATTCCGCGTGTTCCCTGTGCGTGTCCCGGGCAGTACGAGCGAGGGCAGCTGTTTGTGGCCACGTCCCTCAAGCTGTCCACCATGGTCATCACCATCCAGGTGATCGAGGCGCGCAAGCTGAAGAGATCCACGGGAGCCCACCCAGCCAGTGAGTGCTCCACACACGCACACACTCATCACCACCGCGATCGTAATCAATACATACACACACCGTCTATGCCTTTTGAAGTTCAATATCGTATTTGTAGCGTCCACAGGATTTTTGTTACCGAGGGCAACACCTGCCATTGTAAACGGAGACGCCGTCGATTCAGAGAGAGACACACAGAGAGAGACACAGAGAGAGAGACACAGAGAGAGAGACACAGAGAGAGACACAGAGAGAGACACACAGAGAGAGACACAGAGAGAGACACACAGAGGGAGACACAGAGAGAGACACAGAGAGACACAGAGAGAGACACAGAGACACACAGAGAGAGACACAGAGAGAGAGACACAGAGAGAGACACAGAGAGAGACATGCAGAGAGAGACACAGAGACACACAGAGGGAGACACAGAGAGAGACACAGAGAGACACAGAGAGAGACACAGAGAGAGACACAGATAGACACAGAGAGAGACACAGAGAGAGACACAGAGAGAGACACACAGAGAGAGACACAGAGAGAGACACACAGAGAGAGACACACAGTGATACACAGAGAGAGACACAGAGAGAGACACAGAGAGACAAAGAGAGAGACACACAGAGAGACACACAGAGAGAGACACAGAGAGAAACACAGATAGACATAGAGAGAGAGAGAGACAGAGACACACAGAGAGAGACACAGATAGACACAGAGAGAGACACAGAGAGAGACACACAGAGAGACACACAGAGAGAGAGACACAGAGAGAGACACAGATAGACACAGAGAGAGACACAGATAGACACAGAGAGAGACACAGAGAGACACACAGAGAGAAAGACACACAGAGAGAGACACAGCGAGAGAGACACACAGAGAGAAAGACACACAGAGAGACACACAGACAGAGACACAGAGAGAGACACACAGAGAGAAAGACACAGAGAGAGACACAGAGAGAGAGAGAAACAGAGAGAAAGACACACAGAGAGAGACACAGAGAGAGACACAGAGAGACACACAGAGAGAGACACAAAGAGACACAGAGAGAGACACACAGAGAGAGTGCAGCCCAATCACTCAGCCACCGCTTCCCGCGGAGGCCAAACCCAGCGGTGATGGATGATTGTGAGAGCTCCCTTCTTCATCTGCCTCTTCGTCTAGACAAGGCACCGCTACCCCCCCCCCCCACCGTCTCCCCCCCTCCTCCCCTCCCCTCCCCCCGAATTGCGGCTGTCAGTGTCACCTGTCTCAGGTGAGAGCTGCGTTTTGTGTGACGATGTTCAGGGGGAGGGGCTCCAGTTGGACTCCCGCAGATCTGGGCTACGGATTGGGCGTGAAACCCTCGCGCAGCGCGCGGGCGGAGGCGTGGAGCGACTCCCCCCTCGAAGTGTCACTCGCGTCTCCAGTCGGGGAGTGTGGGGAGGGGGCGATGGTGCAGTTTGGGCGAGGTGCAGCGTCTGCCTGCTGCTGCTGCTGCCTGCTGCTGCTGCTACCTGCTGCTGCTGCTGCCTGCTGCTGCTACTGCTGCTGCTACTGCCTGCTGCTGCCTGCCTGCTGCTGCTTGTGGATTGACGCCGGGGAGTCCCCCCCCCCCCACCGCCACCGCGCGCTGGTGGGGGTGGAGACACTCAGAGCTCCGTGGAGATGGAATCCACAATCCAGGGTTGCCCAAGCTGAGTGTACAAGCAGTCTCCCATTCCAGGGGCAACCCTACTGACGGGGTCAACCCTACTGACGGGGTCAACCCTACTGACGGGGTCAACTCTACTGACCCAGGTCAACCCTACTGACCCAGGTCAACCCTACTGACGGGGTCAACCCTACTGACGGGGTCAACCCTACTGACCCAGGTCAACCCTACTGACCCAGGTCAACCCTACTGACGGGGTCAACCCTACTGACCCAGGTCAACCCTGCTGACCGGGCGTGTGCGTGTTGTCTCCCACTGTTACCCCCCCCCCCCCCCCCGTGCAGACGCCTTCGTGAAGGCCGACTTGTGGGTGTCTGCGGAGCGCACGGAGCGGCGGCGCACGCGCGTGGCTCGCGCCTCCCAGGGCGACGCCAGCTGGGTGGAGACCCTCGCCTTCCCGGCCACCAACCGCGAGAACAAGTTCCTGGGCGTGTCCGTGGCGGTGCGCGTGTGCCATCGCGACTCGCTGCGCCGCACACACGTCCTGGGACAGGTGCCGCCCCCACACACGTGGCCCCCCCCCCACGTGCCCCCCCCCACGTGCCCCCACCCCCCACGTGCCCCCCCCCACGTGCCCCCACCCACGTGCCCCCCCCCACGTGCCCCCCACCCACGTGCCCCCCCCCCACGTGCCCCCCCCCCACGTGCCCCCCCCCACGTGCCCCCACCCCCCACGTGCCCCCCCCCCCACGTGCCCCCACCCACGTGCCCCCCCCACGTGCCCCCCCCCACGTGCCCCCCCACGTGCCCCCCCCACTTGCCCCCCCCCCCCCCCACGTGCCCCCCCCCACGTGCCCCCCCCCCCTCCTGCTGCTCCGGACCGGCACGGCGCCGGGACTCGCTTTTACTCCCCCACCCCCCTCCTGCCTTCACTCCTTCAGCCTCTCATTCACCCACTCCATCCCTCCACTCCCCCCACTCCATCCCTCCACTCCCCCCCTCTCCATCCCTCCACTCCCCCCTCTCCATCCCTCCACTCCCCCCCTCTCCATCCCTCCACTCCCCCCTCTCCATCCCTCCACCCCCCCCCCCACTCCATCCCTCCACTCCCCCCACTCCATCCCTCCACTCCCCCCTCTCCATCCCTCCACCCCCCCCCCCCCACTCCATCCCTCCACTCCCCCCACTCCATCCCTCCACTCCCCCCACTCCATCCCTCCACTCCCCCCACTCCATCCCTCCCTTCCCCTTTGCGTCACGACGCGCCGAAGCGGCACAAACCGCGATGAAACCGAGGGGCGAGGAGCGACGTGAAGGGATCAAAATAAAAAGCGACGACCGCTCGCCACCGAATCACCGGCACGCGAACCCCTCGTGGGAGCGTCTCGCTCGAAGCCTCGCGCCACGCGCCGGGCCCCCCCCCCCCCCCCCCCCCCCCCGTGTCGCGCTCTGCCGGTCGGTGGGCGGCCTGGGCGGCGGCGACTCCGAGGCGGCGAGGAACGCGGCGGATTCGCGCCAAGACGTCGACCGGCACCGGTCGGACCGGTCCGGGCGACTCCCACGGGGCACCCCTCCCCCCCGCCCCCACTCACCCCCCCCCCCCCCCCCCCCACTCCACCTCCTCACCAGCACCCCCACAGCGTCACCACGCCCAGGGCTCGTCCCGAATCACCGCCCCGTTGGTTCGGCGAAGCGTCACGAAACCCCGGCCGTGGGAGACTGCGGGGGAGTGGACGTCGAGGATCGGTGGCGTCCCCCCCCGCCCCCCCGCCCCCCTCAGTTGAAATTGCCCGCGGAGAATCTCACCCAGGGTGACATGCGAGCAGCGGAATGCATTGCAGGTACGGGTTGGGTACGCGGTGTCTCTTGTCGTGACCTTTCTCATGCTGCTGGAAACGCAGCCGCCACCCCCCCAACACGCGCGTGTGCCCGTGCGTGCGCACGCGAGGTCATCGCTCACAGTCACACGGTGATATATGAACCGGGGGGGTGGTGCACGTGCTGCGAGTGACCGCACCCTGTCACCACCGTGGGCCCCACCTGCTGCACCGTGGGCCCCACCTCCCGCTGCACCGTGGGCCCCACCTGCCGCTGCACCGTGGGCCCCACCTCCCGCTGCACCGTGGGCCCCGGTTGCAGTTGCGCCACCTGCGCACCGCTCGATAGCCGCGCCGCCGACGGGGGCCCGATGGTTGTGGGAGAGCAGCAGGAGGAGGAGGAGGAGCAGGAGGAGCGGGCTCGTGCGGGAGCGGGGCAGTGAGGGGGGTTATGATCCGCCGGGTTGCGTTTATTTTGTTTGATATCCGAGTTCGCGAACACCGCCACCCCCGTCTCTGCCTCTCGCGCGTTGTCGCGGCGCTCAGCCACGCGTGACGCCCCTCTCGCCGCGCTCCGCGTTGGGTTTTTTTAGCGGACGGGGTTTTGTCTTCTTTCGCGGCTCTTTTGTGCGAACGGGGAAATCTGCTTCAATTGTCGGGAGGTGACAAAATGCGACTGGGCAAGACCGGCCCGCTCTCCCGCATGCAAAGCAGCAGAGCTCTCTCTGTTAATATTGTTCTAGCACTGACGGCAGCCGTGCAGAGAGCTGAAGGCTCTTGGCTTTCCAGTTAAGGGATGACCGGTTTCTCGGTTCACTAATTTACTGTTATTCTTGGTCTTTTCGGTAAAGTTGCTGTGGTTTTCACACCTGATGATGATTGCTTGTGTTGCAGTCGAAACGTCGTGAGAATTTTATTGTTTTATATTTTTATTATTTTATTGTTTCCCTTCTACGTGACTTTACCGAAAGAGCCAAGAATATGAATCCCTGCAGTTACGAAAGTGAATTATCGCTTGACTCACTGATTAAATGACTAAATTGATTTATCGACCGATTAAATGACCGGCTGACCAATTCCTTGACTAATTAACTCAAAACAATAATGATTTGCATCATAGTGGAGAATATAGGTAACACATTTTAAATAAGCAGCGCATATCCCTCGCTCCACATACAAAACAGAAGCATTCTTTACACATCCCATCAGCCGCGTACACACAGTGGGAGTGCACCATCCCAGCAGTATTGATTCAATACAAGCGAAACTCTGGACTGGTTTCGACTTTGAGTGTCTCAAGGCCACTTGTGTTGTGGCTGAAACGTCGTGAGAATTTGATTGTGTTATTTTATTAATTTATTATTTTATTCTCATTCTACGTGACTTTACAGAAAGAACCAAAGAAGAAAAAAACATTGACTCATTAACGTGTTAACTACTCCATCGGTTGGATGATCGATCGCTTGCTTGACTGACATGAATCTTGACCGATTGACCGACTCGGTGACCGGTTGACCTGTGCGCAGGTCATGCTGGGCTGGGAGGGCGAGGGCTCGGCACAGGAGCACTGGAGGCAGACGCTGACGAACCCTGACAAGGTCATCGCCATGTGGCACCAACTCAAGTGACCCCAGGGCAGCGGCGCCACTCACCCAGCCTCGCTCAACGCTGCCTCACTCGCTCCCTCCACTCGCTCTCTCCACTCGCTCCTATCGCTCCCCCCACTCGCTCTCTCCTTCCACTCGCTCCCTCCACTCACTCTCTCCTTCCACTCGCTCCCATCGCTCCCTCCACTCGCTACCTCTACTCGCTCCCATCGCTCCCTCCACTCGCTCTCTCCACTCTCTCCTATCGCTCCCCCCACTCGCTCTCTCCTTCCACTCGCTCCCTCCACTCACTCTCTCCTTCCACTCGCTCCCATCGCTCCCTCCACTCGCTCCCTCTACTCGCTCCCATCGCTCCCTCCACTCGCTCTCTCCACTCGCTCCTATCGCTCCCTCCACTCGCTCTCTCACTCCACTCGCTCCCTCCACTCCCTCTCTCCTTCCACTCGCTCCCATCGCTCCCTCTACTCGCTCTATCCACTCGCTCGCATCGCTCCCTCCACTCGCTCTCTCCACTCGCTCCCATCGCTCCCTCCACTCGCTCGCTCCCTCCCATCGCTCCCTCGACTCGCTCCATCCACTCGCTCGCATCGCTCCCTCCACTCGCTCCCTCCCATCGCTCTCTCCACTCGCTCCCATCGCTCCCTCCACTCGCTCCCTCCCATCGCTCCCTCGACTCGCTCCATCCACTAGCTCGCATCGCTCCCTCCCATCGCTCCCTCCACTCACTCCCTCCACTCGCTCCCATCGCTCCCTCCACTCACTCGCTTCACTCGCTCCCATCGCTCCCTCCACTCACTCGCTCCCATCGCTCCCTCCACTCACTCGCTCCCTCCCATTGCTTCCTCCACTCGCTCCCTCCACTCGCTCCCATCGCTCCCTCCCATCGCTCCCTCCACTCATTCGCTCCCTCCACTCGCTCCATCCCATCGCTCCCTTCACTCGCTCCCTTCACTCGCTCCCTCCACTCGCTCTCTCCACTCACTCTCTCCTTCCACTCGCTCCCTCCACTCACTCGCTCCCTGCCCACGTCCCTCCTCCCTCTTCCCCTCCCTCTCCTCCTCCTCTTCCTCCTCCTCCCTGCTGCTCTTCGTTTCCTTGCTCCACCACGGGCCGCCCTCTCCCTTCTCCGCCCAGCTTCTTAAAAATCCTCGGCCTGCACGTTCTGAAGGGGCCCGAGTTTCAATCCCGGCTAAAACGAGCGCCAAGTCACCGGCGGCTACCCACGGAGATACCAACCCCAACCACCACTGGAATGTGGAGCTTCCACCACTGGAATGTGGAGTTTCCACCACTGGAATGTGGAGCTTCCCACTGGAATGTGGAGCTTCCACCACTGGAATGTGGAGTTTCCACCACTGGAATGTGGAGCTTCCCACTGGAATGTGGAGCTTCCACCACTGGAATGTGGAGTTTCCACCACTGGAATGTGGAGCTTCCACCACTGGAATGTGGAGCTTCCCACTGGAATGTGGAGCTTCCACCACTGGAATGTGGAGTTTCCACCACTGGCTGTGCGGGATAAGCTGGTGCGGAAGTCGAGAGCGGTGTCGATGGCAAGGAACGCAGAGGAGGACGAGCGGGACGAGCGAGGGCGCCCACAGAACCCCGGCGACCGCTGAGCTGCGAACCGGACGGCGCCGTGAGCCACCGGAGTCGCGTTGGCTCCCGCTGCTCACCCACCGCCACCGCTCGGTGAGAGTGTGGGGAAGGGGGGGGGGGATCCCGCTGCGACGACGCCATTCGGCAGATTCCATCGCCAACGAGTAACCGACGTCGCCGCCACCGCCGCCGCTCGGGAAAGTGGAGTGCCCGGAGGGTAGCGCCACGCGCGCATGGACGGCGCGGGTACCAGGGGCCTGCTCGCGGACACCCCGGCTGGATTTAGGGGCGGTCACCACCACCACGCCCGAGGCCACCGCCACGGTGAACTCTCCGTGTACGCTGGAAGTACCGGCGCCGTCCGGACTCCTGCCGGCCTTCTTGAACTTCATATGAATGTGGCCCATGGAGGGTGCGGGCCGGAACTGCGTCTGTGGCTATGGACAGAGATTTGTTACTCGCTGAGAAGTTGTGTTTTTTCCCGGGGGTCGCCGCTTGGCGACCGGAGTTGGTGGCACGTGACTGGTAGGGCAGCCGTAGCCGGTAGCGAGAGAAAGAGAGAGGCGGAGGATGGACGTGGTGTGCCGGGTGCGGAAAGAGCTCCCGTGTCGACCCGGCTGGATTTAGGCCCTGGATACCGAGAACTTTACATATTAGTTGACCCAATTTCATTTTAGAAAAAAGTCACACACTCGCGTCCCGTGATAAGACACCGGTAAAAGAGGAATTACAGATTCTTGGTTCTTTCGGTAAAGTCACGGAGATAGAAAATAAATTAATTATTTTATTTTCTACCTACGTGACTTTACCGAAAGATTAAAGAATATGAATTCCTGCTGTCACGAAAGTTTTAACTCAAAATGTAGTAATTACAGGTTTATGTTTAACTGTATGATTTATATGAGTGATGTATGCAAATGGTAAGCGAGCGTATGTACCTTCTGCTTAAAACGAACGAACAAGGCAGAGAGATATAACGACGACGATGATGTTTATGTTGTTGTTTATGTTGTTGTTTATGTTGTTGTTTATGTTGTTGTTTATGTTGTTGTTTATGTTGTTGTTTATGTTGCATCGGCGTTCATGCAAACTGCGTCCTCCCTCACCAACGCCACGGCGGAGTCTCTGTATCGCGCAACAGTTGCCCAAGCTCTGCAGTCCTACATTGGGATATTTGGTCAACTCCACGAATGACGGAGCCGTGGATGGGCAGGGAGTGCAACTGACGGTCGTTACAAGCGGGCTAAAACAAGCGTTCTTCGACATCGTATTGAGGCTTGTGTGCTCTCCGCTCGTTCTGCATGGGTTTGCTCCGGCTTTTCCCGGTTTCGTCCCATGGCTAAGCTAAAAAAAAGCTCACAATGTCAGCAGAATTGGCCAATGCTGACACATTACCTGCAGAATTACTCAATTGCGATTAAGACAAAGATCCCCCGTGTAGCCTGTCACAGACTGTCGGGGCAAGTGCTGTGAGCGAACAGCAGCGCCTATGAAGGCCGGCACGGCACACGAGAGGGTGGGTGGCCAGCGCCACGCCCGGCCGCCTTTGTCTCCCTTAGTAGCGATATGTTTACTGCACCGCACCAGGTACTCATTTGAGTCTGAGTCGACCTAGGGGGAGGGCCCAGGACCGGTTCAGATAATCGCGGGAATGGAACTCGGGTGGCCGGGTTCGTAGCGGCGGCGCGCTAACCACTGCGCCACCACTCCCCACTCAGCAGCAACAGCAGCAGGAGCCATCGCGCGCCTCATCTTGTCACCAAAAATGTTTAAAATGGCAGAAGCCTCTCGTGAAAAGATCGCTGAGACTCGGGGATTGTGGTCAGAATGCCAACAAAAAACATACTCTGATAATATGATGCATTGTCCTTGAAACTGATTGGTCCACACCAGAGACAGCTTTCTTTTTGTTGCCAGAAAAAAAGGGGAAAGCCCTCCTATGATCATATCTTGATTTTATTATCATTTGTTGGTACTGGAAAAGGAGGTCCCGTGATGTAAAATAAAAGTTATAAAAGTAATCGACAACCTCGGATCGTGCCACTCGCTGAAATCGACGGGCGGGTGAATCGTCGCATCCAGCCCCACCCAGCACGTCCCGACTCGCGCCGTGAATGGATTCCAAAATCCGATACTCGCAACGATTCGGAGGGGGTTTCCTTCATTCCCGGGGTGAGAGAGGGGGGGGGGTGAGAGAGTGGGGGGTGAGGGGCGGGGTGAGAGAGGGGGGGGGGGTCCCGAAGCTCCACACTTGAGCTATTACTACGCTTTGGGCCTTCCGGGCAAGTCACGTAAACAATATAAATAATAGATCGCGACGTTTCTATCGCAACACGAGCAATCGTCTTCAGGTGAGAGAGAGAGCGAGAGAAGGCTGCTGAGACAAGCTCTTATATAGGCCTGAGATGGGTGCATCAAGGTGGGTGGGTGGAGCTAGCGATGGTCCAATCACAGAGGCTGGGGCAGTGGACCCCCAGCCTGTCAACACAAAGACATCCAACCTCGTACTGAAACTCGTTAGAGAGTCAGTTCACATCGGTAGGATGGATGGAAACATCAAGGCCAGTTAAGACTTTAGCTGGTTAATAACGCCCTTCCAATGATTGCTCAATGTGTACCCATCTTCTCGGTTGAAGTTGTGTCTGTGTTTATATATCTGGATGGCTTCATGAACAAATATTTGATGATAGCCAGTGGGTTTGCAGAGTAACTCCGTCTTGGAAAAATCAATATCGTGTGAGCCCACAGCGTTAAAACAATGGTCAGCCACAGCAAAGGTGTTGGTCCTACCATGTTTCAGATCTGCTTTGTGTTCACGAACACGGTCTGAGACATGTCGCTTAGTTGCCCCAATGCAACTACTGCCGTAGACACAGCTTAGTTTGTAGACGCCAGGGTATTGCATGTCAGGGATCACATCCTTCACAGATGGGATCAGATCACGAATGTTATGTACTGTGTTCAATCGAACCTGGATCTTGTGTTTGTTCATGATTTTGGAAATCTTTTTGGTGACCCTTGCTATGTATGGCAAGGTGATGGTTTTGATTTATTAGGTCCTCAGATGTTGTTTTTCCCCACGGTTGGGGTGATAGCTTTACGGATTGTGTAGTCTGAATACCCATTCATCTTGGGGGCTTGGTGTACGTGCTCCAGTTCACTGGCTAGGTGGTGCTGGTCGGAGATGCAACGGGCCCTATGGTGTAAGGTTTTGATGAGAGAATTCTTCTGGGCTGGATGGTGGTGGGAATCAGGCTTTAGATAGGCATCCGTGTGGGTGGCTTTCCTGTAGACAGTGTACCATTGAGCCATCTGGTCTCTTTTCGATTAAAACATCCAAGAATGGTAACTCGCCATCCTTTTCCACTTCCATGGTGAATTTGATGGCTGGGTGTATGGAATTGATGTGAATAATTGGTTCAGTGCTGGCGGGCCATGTGGCCAGATGACGAACGTGTCATCTACGTTAGTTACTCGTTATTCCCACCGTGTGGCCCTAAAAGGTTAAAAGAGAATATATGATGATTGGCGACGTTTC